GAACTATGTGGGCCTAATGAGGAGCTGCCAGGGCTCAATTATGCGCCCAGTCCGGGCTCTGTGCCGTTTGACTGACAGCTCATTACCCCGCTGCCATTTGGGGGCAGTGGAATTTAATCTCCCAGCTGGGAAGCAAATCAATTTGCCCATCTGCCACAGCTGTGCCTACGTGGACTCCGCTCTAATTTATTCTCTTAAGCTTAGGAAGCCGCGTCATTTTTAGGTACAGAAATATCAGGTTTCCCAACCAGCCTGGCCAGGGCCTGCTCAGGTAGACATATCGAGAAGGTCGAGTTATGATGGTCAGCAGGTATGTGCCATCGGCCTGGCTCAGAGGAAGCTGGGTTCTTGCCCAGGAGGTGGGCTCATCGATGGGAAGGTTGTACGTGGGAGTAGGGGGACCTCTGCCAGCCAGGCACATATAACCTGCCTACATGCATCCAGGGCTGCGCTATTCTGTGCTATGGTCATGGCTCTGGTTTCTGGGCTTGCTCAGCTCCTCAGGTCTCCTCTTCCAGGAAGCCTTCCTCGATTAGCCCGTGGTCCAGACTATGTGCCCTCTATTGGTGCACCCTGCATAGTTTCCGGACACAAGTGGACTTAGAGGATGCTGTTCTGAGACTCAGTTTTCTGCCCTCTGTGAAGTGTGGTCATCACCCACGGCCAAGACAGTGACCTTGAACTTGTGACATTGGGACAGTTTGCAGGGCAATCTGAGGCCTCTTTCTTAGCATATTAACTGTGGCATGTGCTCTAGGGCACATCAGCGGTGCTCCCATCCCCCACTGTGGGGGTGAGACCCCTGCAGACTCCAGAAGGTGGTCTGGGCTTCCCCTCTAAGCATTTCAAGGGGGCTGTTAGCAGATCCACATTCACAGGGTGGAACAGGCTAACGAGGGCATTTCCTAGGAGAAAGGTCAGTTGTTTGGTAGATGAGTTCAGGCTGACTCTGCTCAAGTTGGAAGGATGTTTCTTTGCATGCCCCTCAATTCTGCACTCAGACACAGTGGGCTTTGAGTCTCTTTAGGTGTACATGAATGTATGTGTGTGTGTGTGCACATGAGTATGAGTGAGCATGAGCGTGTGAGAATATGGGTGTGCATGGGTTTGCATAGGTGTGGGCGGGTGTGTATGTGTGAATGGATATGTGTGTGCATGGGGTTTGCATGGATGTGCTGGTGCATGGGTATAGGAGGGGATACATGTGCATGAGCATGTGTGTGTGTGCATGGGCGTGTGGGGGGTGGGAGTCACTCTGTGGGGAGAAGAGGAGTGAGGAGGAAAGTGCTTTCTGTGGAGGGTTTCTGAGACTCTCCTCAGAGTTGACAAAGCAGCCCGGCTGCGTTAGTTTTTAGGGGTCAGGGAAAGGCCAATCTATTTACACACCTTTGCTGAGGAGCATGGGGGGTGGTGAGGGGGCTGGGATTAATGAGCAGTTTTATTGCCTCGCTTGTCAGGAGGGTCATGTGATATTATTTTGATATGGGGGCCTCAAAAGCAAACACAACAGGCCAGGTTATACACAGAAGAAAAGGGGGCCTCACCCCAGCCATTAGGCATTTCCCTTTCTTCTCAGTCCAGGTGGGTGGGGGTGTGTGTGAGGGGCAGGACCCTCCTCCCACTGCCAGTGCCTGCAGGCCGATCACGCCAAGCGGCACCAAGGCCAGCTCCCAAGATAACATTTGTCTGTGGCGCCTGGCAGTGAAAATTTAACATCGCAGTTGCTAATGAATAAATTGGCCAGGACTCCTCCCATCCACTGCTGCCTCTGAGGAGGGGGAGAGCGGGACAGCTCAGGGTGACTGTGCAGCCCCAGTGACAAACCGGGGAACAGAGGAGTGCCTGTGCCAGCACTGACTGGCTGAGTCGGGCTTCCACCCTCCTCTCCACCCTCCTCTCCACCCTCCTCCAAAGGCCTGTGCGAGCACAGAGCAGTCCTGGGACCGGGCAGGGGCGGATGAGAGAGGGAAATTACTGCCCACATCTGGTTTCTTTTCTTTTTTTGCCTTCTTTTCCCTGTTGGGGCTAACTGTAGCTGTGACCAGCCACCTGACCCAGAACAGGAGGGAAGAATTCTGCCAGATAAACAAATCCACATACGGACAGCTCCACACACTTGCCAGAGATAGGGCTGGGGAGCAGAGGGCAGGACAGTGGGCTGGCCTGGCTGCAAGTGGCGAGACCTGGGTTCCAGGGGAAGCTCCCCAAGGTGGGGCTGAGATGCCTGGTACCATCTTGCCACTTATCTCCTGTCACCTTGCTCTCTTAGCCTAGAACATTCCAACCTTTCCTGCAAATTCCAGCGCTTGCTCTGCTCCAAGAAGCCCTCCCTGAGCACTCGAACTGGTGAGCACACTCCCTCCTCTGAGTGCATATTCAGCAGGCACTACTCGGGGTTCCCACTCTGCTAGGCAGGGGCTGTATCTCACCTGCCTATGTAAGAGGCCCTGATCTGAGGCTGCATTCATAGGAAGACCCAATAAATCCTTGTTGGCCACCAGGTTGCTTTAAATACACTTTCTGTTCGCCTCTCGACCAATAGGTGTTTATGCTGCCAGGGCTGACCACACAGGACACCTATCAGTGAATAGACAAGAGGCCCTGCCTAACTGGCGCAAAGCTTAGGGCTGCGTACCAAAGGAGAATCCAGCCCGTGGGTGGGGAAGTGGGAGAGCTGTTTGTAGTCAGACAGCTAGGTTCAAATCTCAGCTCCACTACCGGTAGCTGTGTGACCTTGAAGAATATGCTTTACCTCTCTGTTGAAGTTTTCAATCTGTAAAATAGGGATCATGTAACCGACCTCATATTGCTGCCAGGAGAAGCTGATGAGATGATGGGTGTAGAGGACTGGTGTGTGTTCCTGCATACAGTTATTACTGTCAGTTTACTCTAGTTCGAGCCTTGGTGCAGTGTCAGATCTCAGATGTCATTTAGAATCTCCTGGAGGAGCAGTACAGAGATTGTCTATATTATTCAGGGCAGAGCCCTGCTGTCCAGGGCAGGGTTGCTTTTCAGAAACAAGTGTGGGGTGCGGGTGGGGGGACGCTGTCTGCCTTGTGCCACGGTGAGATCACGGGATGCCTCGCCGACGGTCGGGCTGGGGGACAGCACACTGGCAGTGGGACTCACTGACACAACTTACAGCAGAGGGGAGGGTGGGGACAACCTGCATGCAGGCCTCCCCCTCAAAGAATCACTTCGTCGTTGGTAAATGTATATTTTGAAGAGAGAGGCATGTGGCCTTTTAAGAGGTTCCTTGCAGCTACCCCAGTTTTCAGAGTAATGAGCTGTTTTCTTTTTCCTATAAACATGAGGCTGACATCAGAGAACAATTTTTGATCCCAGTTTTAAAACGAACTGGGTGGTTTTTTTTTTTTTCCCTCAGTTTCATTGAAAAGAATATCTTCAAGGAGCCCACAGCTCAGGGGCACGATGCACTCTGGATTATTGGAAGTTTAGAAACATTTAGGTGATTATGGTAAATAATTCACGCACACCCTGACCAATGCAATTTATTCTTTTGTGCCAGCACAGAGGAAAAGCAGAAACCAGCCGTTCCTCTTTTACTTCCCAGTCCTACTAGCGCCACCTAGTGGAGATATGCACTAGGCACAGGATTTGCTTCTCTGGTGTCCCTTCTCCAAAAACTAGGGAAATGCCACTCGCCTAGAAGCCTTTTAAACCTTAGTGCCATCTGTGTTTCTGCCTCTGAGTTAGAAATACCACCAGGGGCAAATGACTCTCTAGTTGCTGATTAGCGTGCCCAGGGCCCTGCGGCACAATGGTCGGCGTCTCGGCGTTTGAACTTGGTGGTCACTGATTAGCAATGTTACTTCTGACACAAGCAAGTAACTTCAGTTCTCCTGGCCTCTGTGTTCCCAGCTGTGAAATAGCTTTAATAACAGAACCTGTCCTATGGGGCAACCACAAGGACAAAATGAAGTGATGCCCATAGGGGACTCAACACGGTGCCTGGCACTCAGTAAAATACCAGATTTCTAGTCAAGAAGTAAAAATAAGTAATCTAAACCCAGTAAAGATCTTAGGGAAACAATTTTACGTCTTAATAACACCTTACATTTAGGAGGAACTTGGGAAGATTCTCTTTCAGGTTTGAGTTAGAAGTAGTTGCCTTTTCAATGAAGAGGCTAGTTGTGCAATGGCTTAGGACTTCCTTTCGATTTCCATCGTCACAGTTTCGAAATCAGAAAGGATCCTTTACATTCACGCATGATACGCAGTGCGCTGCATGTCTCCTGGCTAAAATGTGCCTTAGAAGCAGGCACGTCTTTCTAAACAGATAGAAGCAGTCTGCATTTTAGGCAAATTTAGATGACAGCAAAAGTACATTTGAAGCAAACAGTGTCTGTGTTTTGCTGAGTTTAGGTAATAAGAGTTTAGCTACTCTGGTCCAGCTGGGATCTTTCTAAATAATCCACATCCCTAAACACCCACAGCTGGGGGGAGGCATGTAAACACTGGCAGCACATCTTGGGGACCTTGGTGGTGGCACGTTGCCCTCGGAAAGCTCCCGGTACCAGCGACCCCATCCTGTAGGAACAATAGGCCCAGCATAGCTTTGGCAGAGGTCTCAAGGCTTCTGCAGCTCCATCTGGTAAGTGGCCAGGGGCACGGGGTCCAGCCATGAGCCCGAGAGGCCGGCAAGAGTGGATGAGTACCAAGAGAGAGCTGAGCTCAGAGTCTCAACACCTGGGCTCTGGTACCAGCCTGCCACTTGCCACCTGCTTTCAGTATAGTATCTGCGTCCGAATCTATGAAATGGGATAACACCCTTGCCCAAGTGTCACCAGCATGAAAGAAGAGACTTTCTATAAACTCCACCAGCCATTAGGGCCTGAAAATGCCCCCACCTGCCTCTCCCGTTGCAGCGACCACTGTGATGTTTCCCGGGGGTGGGCTGCCGCACCCAAGACCCCCGTCCTGTGATGAGAGAAGCTGACTTTGGACTCAGGGGCACAATAACTACAAACACACTAAGCAACAGTTTAACATTTTACTAAATCAATTCACACAAATTCCAAATATAATTAAGGGCAACAGATTCTGTTCTGCCTTTTAAATCTTCCATTTTCAAATCCATCATTAAGACAAAAAAGTAAACAAAAATTAAGTCTGCGGTATAGTCATGATTTTTCTTCTTGAGGAAAAAAGGAACATTATAGCAAAAAGAACGCCACTGGGTGTACAACAAAGCACCACGACACACGGTTACAAAGCGGGCTTCCTGGGTTCTGCCACCCGTGGTGGACGCTGCTCTCCCGGCTGCTCTGTGGCAAGCAGGGCTTCATTAAAATAAAACAATAAAATCTCCTAGGTCACACTCAAGTCAGACACAGTCTGGAACACAGTGCTTAACAACAGTAATGCCAACTATCAGTGCTAACGTGAAAACATTTTAGGTCGAAACAATTAAACTGGAAACCAAAACCTTATTTTCCCTAGATGAGCAAAATTGAAAACGAAAGGGTTCCCGCCTCCCAGTAGGAGTGAAGGGTTTTTTTTTTGTTTTTTTTTTCTTTCTTTCAAATTGGAGGCAGGGGGCACGGTGCGGTTCGTAGTTCCTCAGCCTAGTTGGCATCCAGCTTGGCCATTTCCTGCACGTAGATGCCTATACTCTCGCTGTCAAAAAGCACGAAATACACTGTTTTGATGGAAGAGGACATTGTTGACACGAAGTAATTGGAGATGGCCTTCAGAATCAGCTGAGCTGCTGTCTGCTTTGGAAAACCGTTCCTGTAAGACAGAGGACAGGGCTCAGCAACTAGGGAGGAAAGGGCACTGGCACCACCCTGCCCCCGCCCCCCAGGAGGCTCTCAAGGCCACGTGTGTCAGTTTCCATGAGCGGTGTTGGGTCCTGTGGCTGCTGATAGACAGGCATGAGGAAGCCCAGTGCCCACCAGACAAGGGAAGGACGAGTGGGCAGAGGACTGACCGCAAGAGACTGTCCTGTGTGCAGAGGAGGAAGCATGCCAGAAGTCTCTGAAAGCCAACGGGCAAGCAGACAGATCTGTATTCTGTGGCACGTGGTGTGCATTAAGCTTCCCCTAGACAGCATGAGCTCCCATGTTTGTTTTTCCAGCATCACTGTGACCAGCAAGGGGCCTGGGACAGAGTCCAGGCTCTCAAAGGCTCCCTGCGGATCTCAGTCCCAGAGGACGACTGGAGGCTGGTGCTTCTCCAAGAAGCTCTCGTCTCCATCCACACAAGATGGGAGGTCACGCCCTTCACCTGGGTCCTTAGGTTCATGGGTGCTGGGCTGCTGGCCAGGAACCCACTCCAAGCACTCAGCAGCCTGTAGCACCCCCGGGGCCAGGGCATCAGGGAGCTGTGGGTGCTGAGGAACAGTGCTGGGCCAAGTGGCTCTTCATCTCAAGGGACAGCATCCAAGTCTCCAAGCCAGACTGGTGTGAATTCACATGCATTTCCATTTAGAGTAAATGTCACATGGCAATTTGGGTGGTGGGGCCTCAGAACTTAAGCAAGAATCTGAAATCGGGACTCCATGCAAATCCCAGGCTATCATGGTCACTGCTGCACATGCAGGACCCCGGTGACCCTGGGGGCCAGTAACATAGCAACTTGCCTCGTCTAGTGGAAACACTGTGGGCTTCAGAGCCATTGGTCTTACCTAGATTCAAACCCCTTACCCCGGTTTACACTTCAGGATACTGAGAGGTAGTTTTCACGAGGATTTCTTTGTTCATCAGCAGATCTACAGTTGTCAATCTGCTCTGAGCCTGTGGATCCACTGGTACCCAAAGTGCCTGACCAGCCTGCCAGTTTCAGCTGGACTCTCCCTCAGACTGGGGACCTGCCGCCAGGTGAGATGCCTTAGAGCATTCCAGCCTCACTCAGTGGTAGCCAGGGGTCTGGCCCCCTTAGCTGTTGGAGAGTTGCGTTCATTCTGTTGTCAGTGCTCAGAGCACTTCTGAAGCACAGGAGAAAACCATTCCTGTGACTTGCTTTTGACCAAACAGGGCTTTACCCAGCTTGGCGACGGACCCCTGGTAACTTCTGGATGCGTTAGAAGTGAAGTCTATTCTTACAAGACAGGGTGTCACCCAGGGTATGTTCCAGCCTGTACAGGGAAGCCCACTGGCGACAGTGGGGTGCCACCCGGAGTCAGAGCCTCAGCCACAGGCGCTCCTGCAGGCAGCCAGTACACACATGACTGGGCGAGGACAGTGGGCCAGAGGCTGCGGGGACAGATTCAGAGTTGTTACAGCCTGAACAATACGCACAGCTTCCTCCTGAGGAGACCCCGGGGACTCTGTCTACTACCAGAGTCGGGGTGACCACCAGGAGGGGGGGGACAGTGCAGGGAGAAGAGATGGGAACCCCAAGTGGCAGGTCGTTCCCCTCGCACCTTTCCCCACTCTGGGCTTGGCAAGCTCCGTCCGGGAAGAAGCTGTTCTCAGCACATCTGGCACAGGTGCCCTGACTACTCACAGGCATTGAGCACAGAGGACGGGTTATCTGGAAAGTGCTGGAGGAAGCCAACCCGACCTTCTGTCTCAGGGGGCATCTGTCTGGTGAGCATGTCCTCAGGGGCATGCGTGCAGCTGAGTGTCGTGGGGGCCCAACTCGCCCCTGTAAGGGCAGCCCCATTCCTGAGAGGGACCAGCCAGCTCTGGGGAGCGGAGTGCAGGCACCGGTCACTGCATCCTTGGACTAAGGGCCCATTTTAATTTTCTCACAAATAGCAAATGTTTATTCTCCTGCTGTTCACACAGCTGCCACCTGAAGGATGGTCAGGTGATAATGACCCCATTAGCTTCATCCTGGTGGGGAAAGGCAGCCAGAGGAGGAGGCAGCCTAGGGGCTGGCTCGTCACTGGGAGCAACTGTGCTCGCCCCCAGGAGCTCCAGGGCTTTGGACCAGGCAGAGCCCTGTCTATGGACGTGACCTGGCTGGGTGGGGCTGAGCAGAGCTGGGAGCCCAAGATCATGCTCCACAAGCTACAAGCTCCCCTAGTGAGGGTGCCCTCCTGCCCATCTCAGCCTCACACCTGCACAGGTGAGCTGGGCTGAGGTGAGGGCCTGTGGGACTTCTTGAGGATTACTGTTGTGTGGCATGATGGTCCAGGGTGTTTGCTGAAAGGGTCTCCCTGGGGCACCAGACCCTGCCTTTTATTCCCACAGCTTTCCATTCCTCTACCTGGGACCCTTGAAAAGGGCTGTGTGATCTCAGCAAGGGGATATTTTCAACGTTAGCCAGGGCTGAGGAGGGCCTTGGAAACGCAGGCTGCTGGGCTCCACGCAGGGAGCTGACTCACAGGTGTGGGGACTGCCCTTTGGAGCCACTGTTCTTTGTGGAGCCAGCAGGACTTTATCATCTGAGCTTGCAGGGTGGGCTCACAGGTGAAGAGCCTGCAAGTGGGGACACAGGTAGGGATCAAAGGGTTTAAAGGTGCAGTGTCCACACCTGCATGCCCTCCTATTGATGGAGTGCGGGCTGGTCTGGCCTTGTCCTTCAGGGTGGCTGTGGGTGAATGTGAATCTGATCTGTTTCCAGGAAAATGTCTTGCTGCTGACCCCGTCCCTCTGCGCTGGACAGCCACAACCAGAGGAGGTGGCCACACTGGACCCCCCAGCTGCCAGGAGTGGAGGTAACAGCTTTCCTAATGTTTTCAGGTGGGGTCCCGTGTTTCCTAGTAGCCACAGAGAATATGTGATGAAATGGAACATACAAGTAGATGTTCTCACAGGAGTGCTTTACACAGAGCCCTGCGCCCTTGAGAGGGACAGCTGTGGCACACGCGGCGACCTGGAGCCACACAGGATTTGACTTTGGGCCCTGTCTCTGTGCCTTGTTTCCCCGTCTGGTGCAAGGGGGTCGGTAATCAAAGTACCTGTTACCCGAGGAGGCTGTGAGGATGAGCAAGATGCTGCACCGAGTCCTCCTCCAATGGCGTATCTGTAAAGCGGGTGGTCTCGAAGGTCTTTCCAAAGGCTCACCCAGTGGAAAATCGCCTCCCCACTCCAGACCCTGGGATAGCTGATGGGTGACAGCTACTGTCGTTGTAATTACCCTGTGCTAATAATGTGGCATCAGGCCCCAGTCCTCTTGGAGGGCTGTTGGCCATGGCTGTTGGTATGACGAAGCTTGGCAGGGGCACAGGTAGGGGTTCCTTGGTGTGGCGCTGCCCAGGTTCTGGAGAGCTGCTGCCTAAGGTGTCTCCCTCGACTTTCGAGGGGTTGCATAGGCACAGCCCCTCTGCACACCACTGCTGCTTGGCCATGTCGTTCGCCGTCTTCCCCCATCTCAGGCCTACTGCCCCTGTGACCATCACTGCCCTACGCTGCACTGTGCCTGCCTTCTCGTGAGACCAGATGCGCCTCCTCTGACACACAAGCCAGCTTGAATCTGACTTGGATGGGCGTTAACCTCTCTAGGCAATAGTGTCCTCCACTGGAAAATTGGTGCCTCAAGGATACACATGGTGATGACCACGATGGTGGTGATGTGGTTGCTGCTGCCCAAGAAAGTAAAGGCGCCCCTCATATTCCCACTGGGCCTGACCCAGTGGCCGTGGTTATGGCATGTGTCTTAAGTTTCTCTGTGGCTAAGTGCTCACACCCTGCAAGTTTATCTGAAACTTTGAGCTTTTTTTTTTTCTTGATCTTGCCTTAAGCAGACAAAGGACAGATCTCTAAGCTTCCCATGAAGTCACTCCAGTTATGTCTGGGACAGCTTTTCCTAAATGTCTTGGGCCTCAGTTTCCCTAGACTGGTGCAAAGGGACCCTAGGGACTACCTGTCTGGTGCCCTCTTGGATTAGCCTGCTCAGTGATGGCTGGGGACCGGATGGCAGAAATGTGCGTTTGTAGGGCCACTTCACAGAAGAGCCCGCTCCTTGCATGGAGCATCGCCAAGCATCCCTGTTCCCGGAGAGCTGTCCTCCAGTGCTGGGCAGGGCAGGCCCAGAGCTGTGCTGAGGAGGCCAATCAGGCATCTAGCGGAAGAGGCTGTGCCCGGGGTGAGGGAGTCCAGGTCGGTTTTCTGGAGGAGACGGACTGGGAGCTTGCCCTTGAAGGCTGTGTGGCGGTGACGTGGATTTTAGATGGAGTCTGATTTTCTTGCTGGGCCTGTCTAGTTGGCTTTGCTGCTTGGGAGTTGGGTAGGGCTGGATACCTTGGAAGCTTGGGGGATGTGAACACTCATCTGCTAGGATTAAGGTCTCCCTCACACTGTGATCCTGGGCCCCTCCATTTTTTCATGTTCTGTCTGGCTTTGAGTAACTGTCTATCTGAAGTTGCCCAGTGAGAGGCCACTCCACCCAGAGATAAAGACCAGGTGCTACAAACTGGAGAAGCCAAAATTCAGGTGGGGATGATGATGGGCCTCTATCCCCCAAGGCTAGAGAGGGGTCGAGGTTGACATGTGGTGGGTTGATAAGCAATTCTCCCTAATTCAGTTGGTTTCTGTCCTTTATATTTCTTGTCTACGGTTCATGTGTAGGGGCTAGGGAAGCTAAAGGCTGTGCCTGGGCAGATCAGGGAAGTCCAAGTGGTGGTTCCAAGGTTCTAAGACCCACTCACATAGAGTGTGCAGGCAGTGGGCGAGCCTAGTGGCATATGAGGAGGCAGGGGTTCCATGTGCCTACTACCATGAGCACTGAAACCAAGGGCCTTCACTCAAATTCTGGCCCTACCAGTTGCAAGCTGTGTGACCACAGGTGAGGGACTCAACCCCGCTACCTTCCATTTCCTTCCCCTTGAGTGGAATGAATACCAGCATGCACCTCTGGAGTTGCTGTGAGAGAACGCAGAGAAGGCTTTAGCACAATGCCTGGGGCTCAACGAATACCATAAAAGGTAGCTTGAAAAAGACGAACTGGCTTTCCGTTTAAGCTCATAAACCTAAGGAGAGTTTAATCAAAGCCCCAAACTAGCTCTTCCCTATGGACTGCCCCTCCGGAAAGGGGTCACTCCCTAATGTCAACCAGAGCTGAGGGGGTGGAGGTGTCCATAAATATTGTGACCGAGTGCCCAAGGGCAGGATGTCCAGATGCCAGAAGTGGCTTCCCGAGGCTGGGTTACACCCCCAGCTCTCATTTATACCCAGTGGCTTTGAGACTGGTCCGGGGGACAATGGGTTGGAGGAAGGGAGTGTAGGGTCATGGTCATCCTCCATCTGCCAGGGACGCAGGGCCTCGGCTGAGAGAAAGTGAGCCCACTTTACCAACATGTTTGCATTGATATCGCTTTAGTTCCAACATGACTTTTATGCCAGGGACAGTGGGTGCCACAAACAAGCTGTTTTATTTCCCCTCCTAAACCCCCTGTGATTTACTGGCCAGCTCTGGTGTAATCCCATTCTTTACTCATGAAAGAGAGGGTGGTGTTTACACGGTGCTGTGGGGCAAGGTCTGCCTGGCAGATGTGGGCGGCTGTGCACATGTGCTTACCTTAGGAATTCCACCCTCTTAAAAGCTTTCAATTGATTATATCTTAAAACTTTTTACTCCATGAAAAATGTAAATGAGTTTGTAATAACAGATGCTCTTTTATGAGAATTACTTTTATGCTTCAATTAGAAATTCCCCAATAGCCATATGAAAGAGCATGAAATTATTACCTCCAATAATGGCTCCTATTGCTTCTCTCTTCGGAAGCACCTTTCATCAGAGTAGATCAAAGTGCCTCCAAAGCACTAATTAACTGAACCTCAGAACTGCCTATAAGGAAGGGCAGCCCCCAGACAGAGAGGGTGATTCATTTACCAAAGGTCACACAGCAGTGCAGTGTCAAAGAACAGACCTTCTGTGGAAGGTTGGAGAAGCTGGCTATTTATGTTCTGATACAAAAGCATTTTGTAAAAATTTTTTAAAGTCTTGAATTGACTCTGGAACTGCCGCTGGCACCTTATGAAGCCGCTGCCTCTGCAGAGCCCTGACTTCCTTGGGCACTGAGCGGGGCTGGAGGCAGAAACCCAAGCAGGCTCATGATCTCGATGGGAAGCCCAGGTGCAGCCAGGTGCTGATACAGAGCCCTGGACTGTGGCCTCTCTTGGGCCCAAGATACCAACAGCTGCAGCCCTGAAGGCCATCTCCCTTTGCTCAGGGCCCAATCCAGACCGTAAGCCTTTGCAGGGAGGACCCTGGTGATGTGAGGGCCATGGAACCTCTGGGGTAGCATGGCTCCTACAGGCCCTCATGGCTTCATCAGAGTTCTCACAGCCCTCTTCCTCATTTCCAGAGCAGGCCTAGGATGCTGCATGAGGGATTGCTATGCCTGTTTTACAGAGTAGAGATTTGGGCTCAGAATGGAGGTCAATTTATGTGCCAGGACTCAACCCCAGGCCTGTCCCCAACCCAGAGCACAGGGAGGTGGGGTGGTCACCACCCTGGCTGCCCCATCAGCTTTTCAAGGACGACCGCATCCATGCTGGCTCTCTGGGTAGTGTGTCTGTTGAGGGGCAGCTGTGCTGCTCCTCACAGCCTCGATGCGCTCACTTGGGGATAATACAGGGCTGAGAGGTGGGGTAGGTCCAGCCACATTTCACTCTCACCTAACTGCCCACTCAGTTCCAGCAGGTTCCACGTCCTCATTAGCAGGGTGATGAGGCAGAGCAAGCAGGTCTGGGAGGTGAAGGTCGCTTGGGAACACATGGGTAAGAGACAGAGGGCTTTACCCTGGGATGGTTCTGGGAGGGGTCCTCCTTCAGTTAGATTCCTGCATCCACACCTCCCCTGTCCTCCATGCCCATTCTCTGAGCCATCGTCTGACAGTCCCAGTACACTCTGAAGTTGCCCTCTGTGATGACACTTGCTGTCGCAACACAAGTTCTATACTGTCCCAGGCTTCCTGTCTCACTCTACCTCTTCCACTGTCCCTCACCACTGCTTAATGTGTGCATTCTTCTCAATTTTTTGCCTCTCTTCCCCTAGAGCAGTGGTCGGCAAACTGCGGCTCGCAAGCCACATGCGGCTCTTTGGCCCCTTGAGTGTGGCTCTTCCTAAGCCTTAGGAGTACCCTAATTAAGTTAATAACAATGTACCTACATATAGTTTATATTTAAAAAATTTGGCTCAAAAGAAATTTCAATCGTTGTGCTGTTGATATTTGGTTCTGTTGACTAATGAGTTTGCCGACTACTGCCCTAGAGTAAGGCCAGTGCTTGAAATCAGCCTCGGGTGACTTTGTACAGTCAGAGCTCCATAATTATGGGCTAAATATGCAGAGAAATACACCCATGGTTGCCACAGTAACAGGCTGGTGTCCTTACCTGCCACTGCCGATGGATGGAAACGCGATGGACTTCAGCTTCTTATCATCTGCCAGAGCCAAGCAGTTTTTCACTGTCTTCTCCAGCAGCTCCTCACATTTGTCTGCACCCCAGACTGGGCTGTTACAGTGGATCACAAACTTGGCGGGCAGGCCATGTCCTGCACTGACAGCAGCTGAAGGGGACGAGATAGGAACAGTGTTTGTCCCTCAGCAAAGAGCACGGCATTAGATGCCAAACACAGACCCATTCTCCAGCCACGGTACTACTGCCTGCTGAGTTGGGATTCCTATGTAAGCGTGAGCTGGAAACTGCTCCTCAGTAAGTCCTCTCACTCTGGGAAGCCAAGCCAAGACCCAGCCTTGGAAAGTTGGCATTGGCTGCATCACCACAAGGAATTTTAGCCAAGATTGTAGAAAGTTCTTCCTCTACTTTCTCAGAAGGCAAAGCCTTAACCATCTAACTTGACTGTGTCAGAATGTTTGCAGCCTCCAATTAATTGCCTTTTGGGGTCTCTAACCCCCTTTTCTCAAGTGCATTCATGTGCTTATATAATTATGATGTATCTACAGGTCTCCCAGACACAGTTCAGGATAAACTTATGAGGGAAGCAACCCGGCTAGCATGTTCGCTGCCCTGTTCTTCTCCCTAACTATTTAGTTTTGACAGAATTACCAGGTGTACCGGTTAATAATGCGGATTTTGTATTCAAAGAAAATTTCAAGAGATAATTTCAAGAGAAACATCAAAAGTGCTTTATTCAAAGTAATGTCCATCGCTAGCTACACATTTCCCCTATCTTTCAGGTAATTTGTGGATACCGCCCCAATAGAACTTTTCTTGCTTTGAGGCAAACCATTCAGAGACCCAATTTCCTACTTCTTCGTTCGATTTGAAAGGGTGGGTTAATACTTCCCAGGCAAGATCTTTTAACGTGTCTTTAACTGGTTTTGAAGTGTGTTATGGTGCGTTATCATGAAGCAAAATTACTTCGCCGTATCTTCTGGCCCATACTGGTCGTTTTATGATCAAAGCATGGTTCAAATTGATTATCTGTTGTCTGTAGTGATCAGTATTAACAGTTTCACCTGGTTTTAAAAGCTCATAATACATTACCACCTTCCTGATCCCACCAAATGCAGAACATTGTCTTCTTTCCGAAGCAATTTGGCCTTGCAGACGATGTTGATGGTTGACCTGGATCAACCCATGATTTTGTGCATTTGGGATTCTCAAAATAAATCCACTTTTCATTGTCAGTCACAATTCAGTGCAAAAAAGACTTTCATGCCAATGGAGCAACATTTTACTGATGACTTTTGGTTTCCCATTTATTTCGTTCAGTTGATGTGGCACCCATTTTCCTTCCTTTAAAATCTTTCCCATTGCTTGTAAACGATCGGAAATTGTCTGCTGAGCAACGTTTAATCTTTCTGTAAGTTGTTTTGGAGTTTGACATGCATCTGCATCCAATAATGCTTTTAATTGTTGGTCTTCAACTTTTTCGGTTGACTTGGGTGTTGTCTTTCACATCGAAATCATCCCTTTTAAAGTGTTTAAACCAGTGTTCACAAGTATCTTGAGATGGAGCCTGTTCACCATAAGCTTCCTGAAGTATACGATAACTTTCAGCAGCACTTTTCTTTAAAATAAAGTACTGAATTAAAACTTCCTGCAAATGCTCTTTTTTGGCACGAAATTCAACATTTTTAAGCATAAAAATATCTATGATGTTAACACCTTCAGAAAATTTGACATGTGATGTTTTTAAGCTTGCTGTCAATACAACAAAATAGCATACATATCAAATCGCATACATATCAACCAACATACGTGTAACTCCATCTATTGAAAAAAAATCCGCATTATTAACCGGTACACCTGGTAGACTGTTTCTAGGATGAAACTATTTTCTTTTGCCAGAAAGGAGCCTTTCTCCAACTACACATAGCAGACCTGCTCCATCTCTGTCTGCCCCCCCCGCCCAATGAAATGGAACCAGCCAGCCTGGTATCTCCTAGAGCACGTTTCAGGATTCCTGTGTCCAAAGATGTGATGCAAAGGAGGTGGCTCTAAGTCCCAGGATTGGTGAGTGCTGCCTGCATCCTTCTATCCTGGAGCACCTGAACATCCCCACAACACTGCGACAGGAAGTTCACCCAAACTTTTTGGTTGAACATGTCATTAGTAAGTGATTTGTGGGTATTGTCTCATGGTACAGTAGAAATAGCTCTGGACCAAGATTCACGAGTGTGAGTGTGCATCTTGACGAGGCTTACTGACTGGTTTGAGAAGTCTGAGCTGAAGTGCTGACCTATTAAAACCAAAGACTGGGTTTATTTCATTGGTCTGTCCATGTGAGACATCACTGCTCAACTATGCATGGAAAAGGGTGGAGAAAAACATGTTAACAGTGATTATCTTTTTAAAACCTTTTCTAAAATCTTAAAATCAAGAACAAAGTGTGTTTTTGTTATTAAAACAAGCGAATAGGTCTCTAGCCATACTAAATCTAATGGGTTTGCTGAGTTTGGTGCATGGCAGCACTAGGGCCACCAAGTAGGCTCAAACTGAACACCAATGGGAGGACACTGGGCAGGGGCTGAAGAAAGGCCAGGAACCCTGGCCAGGTAGGTTATGCTGTGTGTGTCTTCCCTTGTTCGGCGGAACTGGCTGGGAGAGTTGGATAATTGTGCCCCTAAGCAAAGCCATGTCCCTTGTAGGCAAACAACTGGCAAAACAGAGGTCAAAGGCACAGAGACCCATGACTAGCGTAGGCTAGCAAGCCATATGTAGTCCCTGGGGGAAAAAAGGGTTATGATGGATGGACCCTCTGAGAAGGGATTCTGTGGACACAGTAATTATTGATGCCTGTATTTAATTAAGATTCATTTTAAAAGCAGGATTTGAACACAGAATGGGCACTGGGGACCATCTAGTAAGAAAGGAAATAAGAGCCTATCCTTGCACAGCTGTGGGCTGACCAGGCCACACCCCTGTGGACTCCAGGCAACCAGGAGGCCTCTGCCCACCTGAAATTCCAACATCTAGGCCGGCAGCAGTAACCAGTACTCTGCCTCTACAGACCTTAGCACCATTCCTCCCCACATCAGATTTCCCCTGTATCAGGAACAGTGTAATTGGCAAGTGAGAAATGTGTCTTTATATTTTCCCATTAAAAGCACAGATGGCTGAATAAAAGTGATTAATTTGCATCTCTCACCAGCAGTTTTACAGATGGATCAGTAGCACTATCTCTAATTCTCAGAGCTTAAATTTGCCAAATTAGACTTCTGTAATTCCTTAAAATTTGACATCGAACATCTAGAAGCTATTTTAAGCAATAAAGAAAATAAAGAAAAAAATTGGAAAGGCGATTTCCACAACCCTTAAGCTCCCCTGACAATCTGCATGTAACAAAAGTCTAAGTTGTAAAGTCAACAGGTTCCCCCTCCATCTCAAAGATGCATCTGTACTGCCACCTCTGAATCCCAAGCTGTCTCCTAACTGCTTTCCCTAACCCCCTGCATCGCCACACCCAAGCATGCCCGTGCTTCCTGCCCTTACCTCCAGCCACTTCCAAGGGCCCATTCTTTTTCCGGAGCTCCAGGACAGCTTCCACAAACTCCTTGCCTCCTTTCTTCTCCAGCGTGTTTCCTAGACAAGGACAGGACAAGCTCAGGTTGCCACTCCAGTGTCTCAGGGCACACACAGACACTTAGCATGTCAAGTGACTATATACTTTATATGATCTGACCAGCTAAATTCCCATATGGCTGCAAAACAGGAGCTAAGCCTCGGCTGAGTGATAAGAGTGAGATGCAGAAGGGCTTCACCAGCGGCCAGATACCACCCTGGCACTGCAGACCCTTATTTGGGGGTGACTCAGGGCTATCCTGGATGAGCCAGAGATTCGAGAGATGGGAGATGTCTGTTCTTTGTGAGCAACCTGCCCTACGTGCTTTCTGTTGGCATGAGAAATCACATGGCTTCCAAGGCTGATACCTCCCCTGGATTTTCTTCTCTGTCTCTGGGGGAGAACCCCCAAATAAGGAGGTTTTAGAAGAAGCATACCATGCTCCCATCAGGCAGCTAGCTCCCCTCCTGGCAGCAGGCCCAGAAGAAAGCATGCAGATTTGGTCATTTCTGGACCAATGTTATTACCATGCTTAGTTCTTATTTTGCAGCCTGGACATATGTGAATACAAAAAAAAAAAAAGGCCTCAGACAGAATTTCCTTAATCACACTTATGATTCAGAATCATTTCAGGTAAAGGAGAGCAACATCAGAAGCAGAGCTTAGAGATGAACTTGTATTATCAAAAGCTGGGGAAGGAGGGTGGCATCGCTGTTCAGGAGTAGGAAGCACTTTTCCTTGTGCATTAGGGTATGTAAAAACTAACCGATTTCTGCTATGAAAGCCAAGCTCTCAAACAAGATCCCAACACCGATAAGGTCTGTGTGTTAAATGTCTCATGTGGGACAGCAAGCAGTAACCAAAATGAGAGATGACACCATCCTTTAGAGTTTGGCCAGAATGGGGTCTCGGTCTTCCTTAAGCTCTGATTCTTCAGTTTTGCACATTTTAAAGTACTTTTCCTCACGAGAGGACAAAATACTCCCCTTAAGATTCACCATTTGTCTTAGAAAAGTCAAGAATGGGTCAGTCAGGTGCATCAGAATGCACCAGCCCAAATTCTCTCAGGATTTGCCCTGCAATGACTGGCGCTGGTTTTCTTAAGAGAAATCTGCCTCGTTTGAATGCTTGTTCTGGAGGGGCAAACTGACCCCAGGAAGTATCTAGAAGGAAAATCAGAGGGCCTGGGCACTGTCACCAACAAGACAGCCCCAGGGTTAATGAAAGGTACTGACCTGTGAGCCATCTGACTATAGAAGTTTGGGGTGCATGAATGAACGTGATGCAGGCCGTCACCCACAGGCACGCTCAGCTGACTAGGAGGAGGCCTGGCTTTCAGAGAGATTAACTTGGGATCCTTGAGGAGGGAATCCAGCATCCCTCCTCATTAACTCAGACTGCCCCCATGCCTTCTTCTGTCTTGGAAAGCAGTGAAGGAGGCATTTAAGTGGCAACTTCTACGTGTTTCTGACAAAATTCAGCATCAGAGACAGTGGCTGAATGGGTTCAAGGGGGCAGGTTCAGGCATCGTGGCTCAGAGACCCCACCCACCAGGAAGTGGAGGCTCTAAGAATACAACCCAGGTGAGTGAGGCTCACTTACAGGTTCACCTGAAATATTTGTGCCACTGAGAAAAATGAATCTGCTGGATCCCAAAATGCTACTGTCCAGCTGCACCCGGTCTAGCCTTCCCCCCATCCCAGTCTCCAGCTTGAAGGAGGGAGACAAATGTGCTCTAGACAGGACTAGTTCAGGTCCTCATTCTCCATCCTATTTACTCTCTGGGACAGCTGGGAAATTTGGAAGGGAAAATAAAATCAGTACTATATTAATACTACCAACTCAACACAAAATATTTGAGAAAATGGGCTGACTTACAATTAAAGGTTCTATCTTA